AGGTTCTCAGTGTAGTATTTCTCTGTGAAGTTCAACACCTCCTCTAGAATGTATGCCTCAACAATGGAAGCCTCAATTTTGGCTTTATTTCTACATTTTTTGCGAAGAGTCTTTAGACATCTCTCGATTGGATAGCACCAACGGTCCTACATGGGCCCCCCATCCGTGCCTCATACGGGAGGTGCACAATCAAATGCTGCATCGGCAAGAAGCAGCCGGGTGGAAAGATCTTCTCCAACTTACAGAGCAACACGGGTGCCGCTTTTTCCAAGTCATCAATGATGGTCCGAGAGAGCTCCTTTGCACAAAGCTGGCGGAATAAGTAGCTCAACTCTGCCAGCACTTGCTAGACATACTCTAGGACATAGCCTCGAACCATCGTCGGAAGAAGCCGCTCAATCCATATGTGGTAGTCATGACTCTTCATCCCGTTGACTCGCAGAGTGCCTAAGTTCACTCCGCTCTTTAGATTTGCTGCATACCCATCAGGGAACATTAGCGTCTGGATCCATTCAAGTACTTCCCTCCTTTGGTCCTTTTTCAAGACGAAATCGGCCTTAGTCCTTCTCTAGGTCTTGCCACGACTAGGAGGCCGCATCTCTTGATTTGGTCTATCGCACAACGTTGCCAGGTCCACTCTAGCCTTAGGGTTGTCCTTAGACTCTTCAGTGTCCATGAGTGTTGCCCAAAGTGCCTCGGCGACATTCTTTTCAGTGTGCATTACATCAATATTATGTGGCAGAAGAAGGTCATCGAAATAGGGGAGCCTCGTCATGCCCGAGATATGAGTCCACATATGTTGCTCACCATATCCCACAAAACCACCTTCTTCATTCGGCACGAGAGCATCTATCTGAGCATGAACCTCAGCACCAATCATCATCCGCGGTGCAGGGTTTGTCACTTTGACACCTTTCGTAAAGTTCTTGATGTCTTGTCTGAATGGATGGTCAAGAGGTAGGAATTGACGATGTCTGTCGAACGACGAATACTTGCCACCCTTCTGCAACCAAATAAACCTCACACCTTCCTTGCATATTGGGCATGGGAACTTCCCGTGAACACACCAGGCGCAGAATATCCCATACGCCAGGAAGTCATGCAGGGAGTAGTGGTACCAAACGTGCATTTTAAAGGTTGTCTTTGTAGATCGATCGTATGTCCATACCCCTTCATCCCAAGCATGAACCAATTCATCAAACATGGGCTCCATGAACACACCCATATTACTCCCTAGGTGTCCAGGAATTATAAACGACAAGAATACGTTATGTCGTTGAAAGGAGACACCCGGGGAGGGGGGAGATTAAGGGGGAAAACGAAGATGGGCCAACATATGTATGGGGCAGCCATCATTCCATAAGGATTGAACCCATCTGTTGACAGCGCGACACATTCATTACGAGCCTCATCTGCTTTGTCACAATGTTTGTCATTAAAGCGGATCCAAGCTTCACCATCGGATGGATGTACCATCTTGTTACGATTGTACCATTGGCCATTTTTGTGTCATGTCATCTGTTTCGTGGATTCCTCGGTCATGTATAGCCGTTGGATCCTCAGTAGGAGCGGAAGGTATCATAGGATTTTTACGGGGATCGTAAGTTGCCTCTTCTGGCCATCATCAAAGTCTACCTCTAGGTACCTAGAGGATTTATACTTTGGACAGGACTTTGCATGCTCGTGTTCTTTCCTAAATAGGACGCACCCCTTCGGTCAAGCATGTATCTGCTCATACGGCATCTTAAGTGCATGAAGGAGTTTCTGTGACTCGTACATGCTCTTTGGCAGAATGTGGCCCTTCGGAAGCAGGCTGCCAATCACGGCCAACATCTTATCAAAGCCTTCTCGACTCATGTTTAACTCGGACTTCAACCCCATTAAGCGTCCAATGACATCCAGTTGAGACACCATTGACCGATCATGAGGTTTTTGTGCCGAGTCCATCATGTCATAGAATGCCTGTGCGGCTGCCTCCATCTCCTCCTTCTCATGTCCCTCATTGAACTGTCCTTGGTGAAAGTCATCTAACATGTCTGCTACCCCGGCATCAGCATCAAAAGCCTCCACCCGTGGTCTCACCACCTCGTCTCTCATACGATGGGCTTCACCATGGTGGACCCACCGGGTGTAGTCCAGCGTAAATCCATTCTTCACAAGATGTTTACCCATTTCCACCTTGTTTTCCCTTCTCCTGTTTCCACATTTGCTGCAGGGACATAAAACTAGGCAATGTCCTTTAGCAGCCTTGCCAAATGCACTGTTTAAGAAAGCATCGGTCTTGTTCATCCATTCCGTGGTGTAATCACTCTGACTTCTCCAGCCCGTGTACATCCACTGACGGTCATCCGTCCTCTAACATATGTATCGGCGAGTAATGTAACCATCAATTGCATCTACATGGTGTTCCTACTGTCTAATAGGTGAGGATAGGTCCTAATCCCACCCGCGGATGCGTAGATGATGTTAGTTTCCATGCTCTACTCCTATCTGAGATAGAATTTCGGCAGCACCTCCCCGCTGTTCTCCAGATACACGTCCTGCCAAAGAAGATTGTGTATCTGGAGAACAACAGGGAGGTGATGCCGAAACTCTGTCTCGGACCGGAGCAGACCATGGAAACTAACCCATCTATGCATCCGTGGGCTGTCCAAAAAATGTGGACAATCCAAAACAGATACGGTCATAGATATGCAAAGATCTGCATACCTCCAACCGTATTTGTTTCGAACGGGAGACGCCTAACTGGGTTACGCGATCTACGACCATGATACGGAAAGAGGGGTTATACCTAGGGTGGCGGCGGAGTTAGGCTAGCGGGGACGTGGCGGGTTGGTGTAGTGGCGAGGCGACACGGTGCAGGCAGACCGGCACGGCGATGGGAACTCCGACTCGGCTCCGACGGGCTCTTCTCTACAAAAATGGAACAAAATACTGTCATTTAAAAAAAATTGGCAGAACCTCCCCTGCATGGTGAGGTTTCCAAAACCTGCAAAAAACAACGGCACGATGGCCGACAAGAACATATGTCTCAAGAGAAGGCATGTAGTTTGGATATCAATCCATACAGAAGAATATATCCAAGTAGTACCACTACTTCTACTACTACTTCCACTATTGCTACTACTACTACAACTAGTTCTAGTACTACTACTACCACTATTGCTACTACTACTACCACTAGTTCTACTACTACTACTAAAACTACTTCTACTACTACTACCACTAGTTCTACTACTACTACTACCACTAGTTCTACTACTACTACCACTACTTCTAATACTACTACTACCACTAGCACTACTACTACAACTAATACTACTACAACTATCACTACCATGACAACAACAAGAGAGAGGGCATGCCTAACGGGCGCCGGGGGTAGGGGTGGGCGGCGTTGGGGTCGGGGTCGGGGTCGTCAGAGTCGAGAACGGGGGTGCACACACGGGCGTCAGGCGGCAGTCCCAGCGGTCACAGTGCGGGCGGCAGGGGTCGGCTCTCCTCCTCCTCCTCCTCCTCCTCCTCCTCCTCCTCCTCCTCCTCCTCCCCCCCTCCTCCTCCTCCTCCCCTCCTCCACCCTTGGCAAGCGTTAGCAGGCGTGGAGTGGTGCTGCCACGCCACCACACGCGGCCAAGGGCGGTGGCAGGGCGGGGCAAACTCAACGCATGGCGTCGTGGTGGCCAGATGGCTAGCCAGGCGTGGTGGCGCGCGCACGGGAGGGGGGAGGCGGCACGCAGCACGGGCGGGCCGGCATTGGCGGGCCGGCGGAGCAGACAGCCGCGGAGCGAGCAGCCAAGCGCGCGTTGGCGGGAGCGTTCAGTGATACTGACCTCACACTACACTCAGTAACATGACTATCAATTTTTGTATCATTAAATTCCATTATTCGTACCACGTGCAGTTCAAATTTATATTTTTCGAAAAAATTCAAGTAAACGAAATAAAGTAACTAAATATATCAAAAAGCCACAAAAAATCCCCAAATTCTAACGAGTTTCTGGTACTTTAAAAGGGCTGCACAAAAAATTTGGAGGCCAAAAACAAAAAAATACTTTGCCGAGCGCCGGGGCATGGCACTCGGCAAAGGGGGGTCTTTGCTGAGTGCCAAGAATAAGGCGCTCGACAAAGAAGATTTTTGAATTTTTTTTTAGAAATTTCCTCTTTGGCGAGTGCCTTCACAGGGGCAGTCGGCAAAGGTATTTAAAAAAATGTATTTTTTTTAATTCCTCCCTTTGCCGAGTGCCAAAGTTGTTAGGCATTCGGCAAAGACATTTCAAAAAAAATGAATCTTTACCGAGCGCCGTGTCTGGGGCACTCGGCAAAGTATTTTTCAAAAAAAGAAATCTTTGCCGAGTGCCTAACAGTAGGCACTCGGCAAAGAAGGACGTGGGCGAACACCATTACGCGGGACAGCCTATGCCGAGTGCCGCGCTTTTGCCGAGTGCCCTTTTTGCCGAGTGCCCGGCACTCGGCAAATAATTCTTTGCCGAGTGCTCGATTTTTGATATTCGGCAAAGCAGTTTGCACTCGGTAAAGGCCCTATTTCTAGTAGTGTACCTGATAAGCGAGCAAGACGCCGCCGGCATGGACGTGTAGGCGCGGTTCAGGTTTAGCCTGCTCGACCACGACGACCAGGACGCGGAGTCTGTGCCGTGGCAGGGTTTCCACACAAGCGAGCTACAAACGAGGAAGGCCGATGGCTCATCGGCATGGGGATCTCGCATGTTCATCCACAGGAGGAGCCAGCTAGAGGGCTCGGCGGCCTACCTTAGGGACGACTGCATCAGGATCAGGTGCGACGTCGTCATCTCTAAGGAGATCAGCACCGCAGAGCGAGATGACGTCATGGCGGGGCTCATCGTCGTGCCGCCGCCGGACGTGGGCCTAGACATTCTCCAGCTCCTCTGGGATGGAGAGGTGTCGGACGTCACCTTCGAAGTCGCCGGCGAGACGTTCCGCGCGCATAGGTACATACTCGCTGCCCGGTCGCCGGTGTTCTCATGGCGGAGCTCTACGGCCCAATGAAGGAAACGACTGAAACTTGCGTACGGATTCACGACATCGAGGCAAGAGTGTTCAAACTCTTGCTGCATTTCGTCTACACGGACTGGCTGCCTGAGATGGACGAGGGTGTTATCGTAGTCATGTGGCAGCATTTACTCGTCGCTGCAGATAGATATGGTCTCGAGAGGTTGAAGCTAAACTGCGAGCACAACCTTTGCTGCCGTATCAACGCAAGCACTGTGGCAACTACGTTGGCATTGGCTGAGCAGCTTGGTTGCCAGGGCCTTAAGAAAGCACGCGTCCAATTTCTGAAGTCAAGTAGCAATTTGAAGGCTGCAATGGCGACCGATGGTTTTGAGCATTTGACGACCAGCTGTCCTAACGTTCTTGAGGAGCTGCTGGCCATGGTTGCTCCATGACCTCCCTAGAATAGCAATCTTTCTGAGACAAACGGTGGCTCAACTTGGAGGAAAACTTAGGTAGGTAGAAGAATTCAAGATGAGTTATATTTTGCAATTCCTTCTCTCTTTTATAGTGTAGACTATGTAAATTTGTAAGATGGTCAATTATAGAAATGTTTGACATACAATAAGCTAGAATGCACTAGTAGAGAACAGACCTTTGATCCTCGGCTAAAATGGGCTCTAGTCCCGGAATTTTTTGCGCCCGGGACTAGAGATACCTTTAGTCCCGGTTGGTGGCTCCAACCGGGACTAAAGGTCCCTGCCCAACGGCTACAGCGCCAGACAGAGGTGGCAGGGACCTTTAGTCCCGATTGGAGCCACCAACCGTGACTAAAGGTAGACTTTTCACTACTAGAGAACAGACTTTAGAACGATGTCCCAATTTGGCATTAGCCTCGGCATTTTTTGCCGCCGGGACTAAAGGACCCTTTAGTCCCGGTTCGTAATACCAACCGGGACTAAAGGTCCCTACCCAACGGTCGTCCGAGTGGCAGGGATCTTTAGTCCCGGGTGGTATTACTAACCGACTAAAGGTAAACCTTTAGTCCCGGTTGGTATTACCAGCCGGGACTAAAGGTTTTAGTCCCATTTGGGTGATATCCCGAATATAAATATTAATCTTTAGTCCCGGTTTGGCCACCTAACCGGGACTAATTATGCGGCCTATACAACGGCTCATTTCTTCCTCCCCGAGCCCGAGCCATTCCATTCAAACTCACTGTCTCTGTTCTTCAGCTTGCTGTTGTTCTTGCTCTCTCCCCCTCTATTGGTGTTGCTCTTCGATTTTGGAGGTAACAAACTTAATTCTCTTATGTTTTATCAAGTAGCTTATCTCATTTTATGCGATGTAGATGCATGTGTAACTTTATATATTGGACTTTATTATGATTTTATATGTCATTTTTAGCTCAAAATCACATGATGATTTGCATATATGTTTGGATAAACAAAAGTTAAATTAGTTCATCAAAATCACGCCTCGCTCGTCCTCATTGAAGCACGCGCCATCCTCGTCCCCCCCCATGCTTACGTGATCTTAGAATTAATTTTTCCATGAAATGAAAAAACTTAGAAAATAGTTAGAAAATTGTAGAAAATCCGTACTAGTTGAACTTGCGGACCGTGATCATCTCGGTGAGCATTTTCTCTGCCGAGCGGTAACGGACGTCGAAGAGGAGCTTTGATTCTACGAGGGAGAGCGGCAACGGTCGTGGAAGACCGTGTTCCCTTCCTCGTAGAATCGGAGCTCTTCCTTGGCCAAGTACGGTGCCGTCCGGTAGAGAAATGCTCGCCGAGATGATCACGTAAGCAAGGTCAACTAGTACGGATGGTTATTTATTGAAACATGTTTTTGAGCTATGTGATTTCTATGTCATTTTTAGCTCAAAATCACATGATAATTTACAATAGTAAAATCACTTGATAGTTTGGTATTTTACTATTATACATAGTACATATTTCATGGTTTAGTTAGATAAATAAATAATTTTAGTTTTGTTTAAATATATTATTTTAGAAAATGTGAAATTTACAGTAGTTTACAAAAATAAGTATAGAAAGTAGATGACAATCGGTACGGATCCTCGGCCTCTCGTTCGGTTCTTGAACGATCGAGGCCGAACTCCTCTCATTATCTGCGGCAAGTGTAAGCGTAAGATTGTGATGGAGTACCGAGTCAAGAGACAGGGACCCAACAAGGGTCGTGTTTTCTACAAGTGCCCGGATCGCGATGTGAGTTTCTTACGCATTTGATTATTATGGCTAATTGACTCGCTTTTCTTGAATATTTTTGACTAAATATTTTTGGCTTTAATTTCAATGGGAGGGCAATGGATGCGATGGTTGGTACTGGGAGGAAGATTATGCTACATATATGCGAATTCAATTCGTCACTGGCGATGAGTCGATGAGCCAAATAGGAGAAGCTTATTGATATTCAACGGAAAGAATGATTTGTCTGCTTTTTAGTTAAATCACGATCATGAAATAATTATGTTCTTGAAGTGCATTGTAGTTTTAGTTTGTTTAGTGATAGTTGGGATTGCTTACGTTATAGCCAGGCTTAGTTAATTAATCAACCGTGTGTGTGTCATTTATGTTGTGTAATAAAATACTAAATTATGTTCAAGGTTTTCATAATTTATCGTGTAATACTGATTATGTCACGCCATTGGATGTACAATGCCGGTCGCCGCTCCCAAGATTTTATTGAGGGCTTGCACTATTTCTTAGGTGTGGCCGAGGCAAATAAGCGGGATGGTTTCATGTGCTGTCTATGTGCCCTATGTAAGAATTTAAAGGAATATTCAAGCTCAATGAGTCTTCATTCACATTTGCTTAAGTCAGGTTTCATGTCAAACTATATATGTTGGACTAAGCATGGAGAAAGCGGGGTAATGATGGAAGAAGGTGAAGGAGAAGATTTAGACATTGATGACATTATTGCTCAGTATGGTGCCTTTGATGATACTACAATGGGGGGAGATGAAGAAGAGGTAGCGGTAGAAGATGATCTCGGTGATGCTCTTGGCGATGCCATTCGTGATGCACAACAAGAATTGGAAAGTGAAAAAGAGAAAGTTAAGTTCGAGCGCATGCTTGAGGATCATAGGAAGTTGCTATACCCGACGGCCGAAGAGGGGCAAAAAAAGCTGGGTACAACACTGGAATTGCTACAGTGGAAGGCAAAGAATGGTATATCCGACAAGGCATTTGGGAATTTATTGAACCTCATAAAGAAGATGCTTCCGAAGCCAAATGAATTGCCCACCACTACGTACGAAGCAAAAAAGGTTGTCTGTCCATTGGGATTAAAAATCCAGAAGATACATGCATGTCCTAGTGACTGCATCCTCTACCATGGCAATGAATACGAGAATTTAGATGAATGTCCGGTATGTAAAGCATCGTGGTATAAGATCAGGCGCGATGATCCTAGTGACGTCGAGGGTGAACAACGTCCTAGAAAGAAAATCCCTGCCAAGGTTATGTGGTATGCTCCTATAATACCACGCTTAAAACGTTTGTTCAGAAATAAAGACTATGCAAAGTTGTTGCGGTGGTATAAAGAAGACCGTAAGGTAGACAATATGCTGAGACACCCAGCTGATGGGTCACAGTGGAGAGCGATAGACAGGGAATTTCCAGAGTTTGCAAATGAGGCTAGAAACTTAAGGTTCGCCTTAAGTACAGATGGTATGAATCCTTTTGGAGAGTAGAGCACTAGTCATAGCACTTGGCCAGTTACTCTATATATCTACAACCTTCCTCCATGGTTATGCATGAAGCGGAAGTTCATTATGATGCCGATCCTCATCCAAGGTCCGAGGTAACCTGGCAACGATATTGATGTCTATCTGAAACCATTAGTTGAAGAACTTTTAGTTTTATGGAACAAACCAGGTGTACGTGTCTGGGATGAGTACAAACAAGAACACTTTGACCTACGAGCAATGTTGTTCGTAACAATCAATGATTGGCCTGCTTTAAGTAATCTTTCAGGTCAAACAAACAAAGGATATAATGCATGCACACATTGTTTTGATGACCTTGATAGTATATATTTGAAAAGATGTCGAAAGGTCGTGTACCTTGGCCATCGTCGATTCCTTTCGTTGAATCACCAAGTAAGAAAGAAAGGGAAGCATTTTAAAGGTAAGCCAGACCATCGGAAGAAGCCTCATAACCGAACCGGGGAAGATGTACTCGCAATGGTCAAGGATGTGAAAGTAGTATTTAGAAAGGGACAAGGCAGTAAATCTATTCCCAAAGATGCTAAGGGACACGCACCCATGTGGAAGAAGAAGTCCATCTTTTGGGAGCTACCCTATTGGCAAGTCCTAGAGGTCCGCAACACAATCGACGTGATGCACCTGACAAAGAATCTTTGTGTGGACCTGTTAGGATTCATGGGTGTGTACGGGAAGCCAAAGGATTCACTTGAAGCACGCCAGGACTTGCAGGGCATGAAAGAACGAGACAACCTTCATCCAGAGAAGACAGATGATGGACGTCATTACTTAAGTCCTGCTAGCTACACGCTTAGCAAAGAAGAGAGGGACAGCATGTTCGAATGTCTAAGCAGCATCAAGGTCCCATCGGGATTCTCCTCCAATATAAAGGGTATAATAAATGTGCCAGATAAGAAATTCCTAAACTTAAAGTCCCACGACTGTCACGTGCTTATGACGCAATTGCTTCCAGTTGCTTTAAGAGGAATTCTACCTCCACATGTACATCTAGCCACCGTGAAGCTATGTGCATTCCTCAATGCAATTTCTCAGAAGGCAATCAATCCAAAGGGAACTAGCTACTCTACAAAATGATGTGGTTCAATGTCTTATCGACTTTGAGTTGGTGTTCCTCCATCCTTCTTTAATATCATGACACACATCCTAGTTCATTTGGTGAAGGAGATTAGTATTCTTGGACTGTGTTCTTACATAACATGTTCCCCTTCGAGAGGTTTATGGGAGTCTTGAAGAAATATGTGAAAGTCCGTTCTAAGCTTTGAAGGAAGCATCGCCCGAGGCTATGGAACAGAGGAGGAGGTCATTGAGTTACGTGTTGACTTTATTCTGACCTTGCCCGATTGGCGTTCCCGAATCACGACACGAGGGGAGACTCGATGGTAAAGGAACTTTAGGGAAGAAAACATATCGGCATGGAAGACGATTATTTCAATAAAGCACACTACACGCTTCTTGAAACTCGTCATTGGTGCATCCGTACATCGAGATACATAAGGAGTTCTTACGACCCAAGTTTCCGAGGAAGACCAAGCTTGGATTAGGCGTCAAAGACATGGAAAGTTTCAGTGGTTGGTTGCGAAAAAGAATGTCAAGGCGATGACAATATTGATGAGCAATCTGTATTTGTTGGCTAGCGCAGCCATCGTGGCATATCCTCACGTACCACCAAGGTACGAGATAAATGGGAATACATTTTACACATTG